CTATTCAATTGAGGCCGGCAACATTCGACTCATCTACTGCCCAACGGACAAGCAGACGGCTGACATCCTCACGAAGGCGCTCCCATCTGTCAAAGTGAAACACTTTGCTGTCGCACTGGGTCTCGCTTCGGCTTGAGGGGGAGTGTTGGAATGGCGCGATTGTAGCGCGATCCCGTCGCAAGCCTCGCGCGACACCGCGCGACTACGGAACACCATCGGGATTGATGCGCCCTGTGGCGCGGCCCATTTCCGGACCCTTACGATACGCTGATTAGATTAGTTCATTACCTTATTTAAAGCCTCGAACTTGCGCCCGCTCACCTCAGTCCCGCTTATCGCGTACTGAGGTGAGTATCCCACATTACTATACTTCCGCCGTGGACTCCGTTAATGATGTATCGTAGTATTCCTATAGGTACAGCATTATCAATATATTAGTCCCGCTTATCGCGTACTGAGTATTCCTATACAATGGTGACAGCACTCCTTGACCCCGGCTCCCATCATTCCCCGCCTGCAAGTTGAGTTAGCTGGCCCTATGATTCAGGTAGTGTTGAACAGGCGCTGGTTTACACAGCTTGCCTAACACAGCCGTCACAAGATATGGAACAGCACAGCCGGTTACTACAATAACCAAGGCTGTACTACTCATGTGGTACACACACAGCTTCGCTGTGCACACACTGCTTCTCTGTGCGACTGTGCATCCTGGGAAGGTACTGTATAGTACTATGTAGCCACAGATGTACAGTAGTAGATATAGGGGACCTCTGTACCCCCAATCTACAGTTCAGTTCACTCGAACATCTCCTCTCATCGCTCTAACAAGCCTCTTACAACCAACAACCCTTCTAGGTGAGTTGCAGGCTATCCGCTGTCGTTGCCACCCGTGAGAGAGGCTTTCGCCCTCTGGGTTCAATAGGTAGGTCATCGCATCCTATAGCTATTGCGGTAGGTCCTTCCAGGTGAGTGTTTCTGATCCTTGTGATGTCGCGAGGCTGCATACATGCGTGAAAACTCCGTCTTCGGGAACCATATCCGAACGTGGCCTATGTGGCACGTATATCTCATGCCTCCCTCGCGGGTAATTCTGTTTCTAGGAGTGAATGATGACGGAGGTGAGTTTGGGCATGTTCTGAGCCCTAGCGTAGTGTATAAACAGGCTATGCAGTGCATGGACGTCGTATATATAGTTTTCTGTCGCCCTTTCTGTACCGTAGATATGTGCCATGCGGTTATGTGTACATCACAACAATACATCTCTGTCCTACTCCTTTTGAACGTGCCAGTCCAGGTTTTGACGTTGTGTTCCATGGTATTCCGCTGTTGTAGTCCTCTATTCCTCTCCAAATGAACCCCTTTGTTGAGGTTGAGTTTCGCAATACAAACGTGTGGTGCGTTACGCGGATGGAGCCCGCATGCGGGTCTATATGCTTGCAGGTACGCCGAAGCGTGATATATATTGGTTACCTGACCACATGCTCCACTCTGGGAGTGCGTGACGTTTGGCGATCACAAGAACTGTCACAGTTTTCTCGTGCCACGTGACCTGGGGGCCATGTGCACCAAGGTAGACGCACACCTTCAACTGCGGACAACTCGTATTGGGAACCGGAGCAGCCGGATTTGAACCCCAGACCTAGAGAAAGGCTGGGAGCGCCCATCCTCACTCACTGACAGGTGACTGATGTGATGGCAGGAGCGCTTACTCATTGGAAGGGGTCCGGACTCGGCACGACTCAGGTATTAGTCGTAAGGTTACCATGAGGCAGGTCAGGGGGTAGGACATGAGGCAAAGAACTCTGACCAAATGATGGTCAATAGGTACCTGGTCTGTGCACTGTTGTATTAGTATATATAGTAGGGAGTCTGAGGCAGGGGACCTCAGACTTGATCTTCTCGTTGATCCCCCATCTCCTTTGTAGGTAGCTAGCAGCCCTACCTCTCCACTGCCCCTTCTAGTCTAGGGAATCCACTTGCTTACCTCATCTCTTGCTGTGTCACTTGTGGTTGCTTCGCTCCCCAGCACCAACCCCTTCACAAGTAAGCTTGTCTTTGTTTGTCTGGTGGCACAGCTCGTCGGCTGTGACAAGAACACTGCTTGCCGCTGATTACAGTGCTAGGGACCTGCAGGCAGACCTTGAGAGCTTGAATGTCCGGAATGTCGTCTGACAGGGGAATGAGACATAGCTACTGCGGCCGCCCACTGGCAAGTCCCTGCTGCACACCATTATCACCAGACATTGGAACTGGCGCATTGAGCATCCATCCTGAAGCTGAAGCCTGAGCGTCCAACCTGAGCATCGCTGTGGAGACTGGCGACGCCCGCTAGCCAGATCCCTAGACAGATAAGGGAGATAACTGTCCCTGTCATCTACGCGAAAGGTAAATGTTATGGCGGATGGACTTCAATCCCTACATCCGTGGTCCTTCAACCATTCTTGATTAAAACCATACCAATAGGGGGGGGAACAGTTTGAATCTTACTTAGAAAGTGAATGGATACATCCATGTGAATATGTGGGAAGGATCTTGCGACATTTGCATTGATATCTATTGGAGAGAGCACCGAGAGTTGCGCAACGGCTTGCTGACCTCTTCCGTAAGCCTCGCAGGAGGTCCTGAGCGCTTATCCAATCCTAGCTCAAAGTCATTATACAATCTCCCCCTTCTCTCTTGTATTCTCATTGATGACTACATGGCAATGGCAGATGCAAGCTGACCCTTCCTGATAAACTCGGGGCTGTGAAGACAAGGATTAGATCCGACTGGAGTCGAAGCAAGATCATCAGTCAGTAAGGAAAGACTATATTGCAGTAACCAACTGTACCTAGAGTTGAAGCAAGACTACAAAGGTCAAGTAAGTAACTACAAGTTAGAGATAGATGTAACAAAGTACTCACTCTTCAGTCAGTAAGGAAAGACTGAAGAGGGAGGACACAATCTGAAGTCCTTATATACTACAGAGAAGTGTCCATGACTAATCGAAGAGTGGTTAGTCACATGTACCATAGTGCGATGAACAATACAATGGTGAAAGAATTGCGACATATCGCACCATAGAATGAGTAAGAGATGAGTAAGGCATAGACCTGTCTAGACCGTTCTGGAGTAGTACAGATTGTCCTAGACAGTACCAGAAGAGTCCGGAAGCATAGCTATAGTACACGAGCAGAGAGTCCCAAATATGGTAACATACTACATAAGCGACTACAGCTAAGCGCTAGGAGACGCATAGCCTCGTGTAGTCCGGACCGGATAAGTCCAAGTTCAACACTTCCAGGGTGGTATTCTTCCACAGAAGGCCAATACAACCTGCCTGGGTGCAAACACGTTTTCCGGTGTAAGTGGGCACTTAGCCTAGGGTGCTCTCCCTCTGTCGAGAATGTCTATT